TTTGTTGAAACTTTTACATCATATTTATTGATATTTGAAGAGTATTTAGAAATTTTTCCAAGTTGATATATGTCCAAGAATCTGCTGTAGAACCCCGACAACAGCTGTGTAAAAAAAAACGGTACCCACGATTCCGGATCTCCAGTTCATCCTAAAAAAAAAAAATCTTAATCTGTGGATGTGTGGCTATCGTGTGAACTAGAACCAAATAAAAATATTGAAATTTCAATTTTTGCCAACGTTTTGAAAAAAAGTTTCATTATGAACCCCCTTAACAAAATTATTATATCAGAAAATTGTGTCACCTAACTGAACCCAAGTGATATGTATTTTTTAAAAAATGTATGAAATCTTTAAATTGCGCCAGTTACATAGGTATGTATTACCATAAAAATAACTTTTGCACTTTTAAAATATTAAGCCTAAGTGGTACGTATCTTTGTTGTATTCCCATTTAAGGAATCTTCTTATTTTAACCGAAGTGATAGTAGCTTTAATTCTCCTTAGAAGAATAATGTCATAACATTGTGTTACCTTACTCAACTCAAGTAATATATAAAAATTAATATAAAATTAAACATTTATTTAAAAGAAATAAAAATTAAAAATACAAAATTAAAAAAATGTTTAAAGTTTTAATTTAAAAAACTTGGCGCTTAACCTTCGGAGAACACACCTATTTTTTCATTCACGGAGACCACTGGGTCAATCTGACCCTACACACACTTTGATCGTCTACCATTTTAAATTGACGAGTGCGATCAGCTTGAAAAAATTTCCAGATGTACTTGGAACATTGTTAAATCAATTGATATAAATAAAAAATGCCGTTGGAATTATTTACATATTTAAAAAAATAAAAAAATAAAATTTTTTTTTTTAAAAAAGAAACGTAATTTACGAAAAAAATTGTATTTTTTATTTTTTTATTTTTAATATTTCTGGCTACAACTTTACGTGTATATTCTTAAAATGTAGTAAAAACTCGAGGTAAGGGTCAAATTGACCCTGGGTGTTCTCCGGGAGTTAAATATCTGAAAGGAATAAATAATTAATTAAAAATATGATATTAATAATTATAATGTAAATGTAGAAATACTTTAACACATTACTTTAAAGTATTTGATTTAAGACCGGTTTTCACACGCAATGATTAGTGGCGCCAACTGACTGGCATTCATTGGCGCCAGAACCGACTAGCAAACTCACAAGTATTTACACAGTGATTGGCGTATACTATGGAAAATATTTAACATTTATTAAACACACAGTAAATGACAGCAAGCATATAACCTCCAAATTTGAGGTTATATGCTTTGGCCAACAACCGCCAGTAAACGCCACATTACTAGCGCCAGTTTGTATCAAGTGTTTACACTTGCATTTTTACTGGCGTTAGTCGACTGGCGCGGCCTGACGCCACCAATCATTGCGTGTGAAAACCGGCCTTTATAGAAATTGTTTTATTAATATACTATTTTGTTTAACAGCGCCAAGTTTTTTAAATTAAAACATTAAATTTTTTAAATTTTGTATTTTTAATTCTTATTTCTTTTAAATAAATGTTTAATTTTGTATTAATTTTTATATATCATTTGGGTTGAATAAGGTAACACAATTTTATGATATTATTCTTCTAAGGAGAATTAAAGCTACTTTAAATGGGAATACAAAGATACGTACTACTTGGGTTTAATATTTTAAAAGTGCAAAAGTTATTTTTGTGGTAATACATACCTATGTAATTGGCGCAATTTAAAGATTTCATCCATTTTTTTTTAAATATATGTCATTTGGGTTTAGTTGGTGACGCAATTTCCTGATATAATAATTTTATTTAAAAAAATAACGCTACTACCACTTAGGTTGGATTTTTGGACATTTTACTCAAGATGATCGTGGCGGTATATGGTTAAAAACATAAAAGAAAACAAAAAATATTCTTTTTTTGAAGAAAGTAAGTGCCACTCACAATTTTAAAAGTACCGTAAAATCTAAATTAAATAAAAAAATAGTAAAATTAAATCAAAAAGAAAAATCAAAGGACCTAACTCATTGTAACTCAAGTGTAAAAGAAGGGATATTTTTGATTTTTTGTGTTTTTAACCATGTTTTTAACCATCACAGTCGATTATTCTTCTCGCGCTTGAAGAATAATCGAGTGTGATTGGTTTATTTTCTTACGATTAAAACTAAAACTTTGTTACGTGCAATGGCCTTAAGGGGATCCTGATCCGTATGATTTACCGACATTATCGTTTTTCGATGGATCTTTTAATTGGCTTTACAGAATTGCAAGTTTTTGGTCTAGAATTAAAGTACGCACAAAAATCTAGGGTAGAAAACGCGATTTTATATCAAAAACACCAAAAAATTAAAAATATTACTTATTTGGGCACATACGCAGCTGTCACCTGACGACAATATTTGCTTAAAACAAAAATTCTGCAGTTTATACATACATAATTTTTATCATCTGCCCTTGGGAAAACATGTAGGAAATCCTATATAGTGGCAGTAGTTACCGACATTTCTTAATTAAAAGAAATCTTTGAATTGGCTTTACATAATTGCAAAATTCTTGTACAGAATTAAGTACGCACAAAAATCTAGTGCAAGACACACGATTTCATATCAGAAATGAAAAAAAAAATTAAAAATTTGGGCATATACAGCTGTCACCTGACGACAATATTTGCTTAAACAAAAATACTGCTGTTTATATATACAAAATGATACCCAATTGGACTAGGGACAACATGTAGGAACAATATCATGCAAATAGAACTAAGATTCAAAACCTAGAAAAAAAGATTTTCACTAACGCAGCTTTATTAATGCAAAGGCACATGCAGGTTGATAGGATAAGTAGTATTGCGTGTAGCGAGAGATGGCGCAGCAATCGAACAAGGACAGATGCCTCTCGTTAGACAAGGACAGATATAGATATATAACATAGAAAACAGGATTAGAAATGTTGAGATTATCGACATCGAGGAAGTTCGGCCTTTACTATAGGATCCCCTTAAGGTATCCTCTACTATCCACATTTTTTTCAAGGTCCTAGCTTTTCCCGTTTCGGAGAAAAAAAACTTTTTGATTTTTTAATTTGACGTTATAGCTCCGGAACCATGTTGTTCTAGAAGCTGGAATGAATAGTAATTTAATGTTGGGTCATAAGATACCTTATGTGTGAAAATCAACCTGATATTGCTGGGGGCATCTCGCCATTGGAAAACCCTTTGGACTTGACCTTGAGTGACCTTTTCAAAGCCAGGTCAATGTGATCGATGTTTTCTTAAACAGAACTCTCCATTTTTTATTGCATATTCTTGTAGCCCTTATCGAGACGTTTAAAAAACAATATAATAAAGCTCTTTTTCGTTAAGAATTTTCTGAATATACATATATATATATATATATATATATATATATATATACTACAATAATTTACGTCTGCTTAGCTACCAGCTGTAGCAGAGTTTTCAAGTGGTGAAACTATGGGACATAGCGGGGACCGTTTAGCGGCAGCATTTGGTGTGACACGCAAGGAACAAGACGATTATGCGTTGCGTTCTCATACTCTAGCCGCACGAGCGCAGCAACGAGGATTGCTATCGGACGTAGCGCCTTATAAAGGTACATTAGATATAATATTTCAACATGTAATTCATGTATTATCGACTTAAGGGGGTATTTTCGTTTGAAAGGTTGTAAAAAATGGTAATGGTATTATTCAGAAATTTTTTGTAGGGAAACGGAAAAAGCGAATAACGTTTAACTTTGCGTGTTCTTTTAGCCTTATTTTAAGAATATATTTTTATTTTCTAAATAACAAAAATGCTCTTTTTTTCTATGTTATATCCTGATCATTAGGTGATGTAAATACTGGACGGTGTAAGAGCCTTCCCTCAAGACTCTCGTATGGTACCGTAGCGTAATGTAACATAGATCAACGCACAAGAAACGTATAATCAATACGTTTTTTGTGCGTTGACCCATGTTACGTTACTGCATACAAGAGTCTTGTGCGGAGGCTCTAAATGATTTTAGCTATTCCAGGTATCTGAAACGCGAAAACCAAAAATTTTCTTATTCAGGAGGATAGTCACACTTTTCCTGAATAAGAAAAATTTTGATTTTTTAGATACCTAGAATAGCTAGAATTATTTACACTGTCCATCATTTACATCCCCTAGTGACTAGGATATAACATAGAAAAAATGAGCATTTTTGTTACTTAAAAAATAAAAATATATTGTTAAAATAAGGGTAAAAAAACATGCTAAGTTTAACATTATTAGCTTTTTTCGTTTCGTTAGAAGAAATTCCTGAAAAATACTTTTCTTACGACCTTTCAAATCAGAATATTCCCTTAATCAATATTTAACATTGCACATTTATGTCTCGCTTTACTTTTCTGCATTGCAGTTCCAAACGTTGAAAATGTTGTCGATAAAGACAACGGTATTCGTGTATCTACAGAAGAACAATTGGCAAAGTTGAAACCTGCGTTTGTTAAGCCTTATGGAACGGTCACTGCGGCCAACGCTTCTTTCTTGACCGACGGTGCATCGGCAGCGTTAATAATGAGCGAGGAGAGAGCTCTCAAACTTGGTTTGAAACCCAAGGCATACCTGCGTAATTTCACGTATGTGTCTCAAGATCCAGTTGATCAACTGCTTCTGGGACCGTCATACGCAATACCGAAGGTATATAATTCCTATCATTACTTGTTATGAAACTAAAATATATAAAGGCTGCATTCTGATATTAACTGTCAACAACTGTCAGTACTGAAAATCTATAGTATACGTGAAATATAGAAAAATATAGATTTTCAGTACTGACAGTGAATATCGGAGTGCAGCTAAAAAATAAGACTTATATAAATAATCGCTTGCAGATTCTCGATAAAGCAAAATTAACCTTGAAAGATATAGGAGTATGGGAGATACACGAAGCGTTTGCCGGACAGATCTGCGCTAATTTGAAAGCAATGGATTCTGATTTGTTCGCGCAGAAGTATTTAAAGAGAAGTTCAAAGGTCGGAATACCAGATCTGAACAAGTGGAATGCTTGGGGAGGATCCTTGTCGATTGGGCATCCATTTGCTGCCACTGGAGTACGATTGGCGACGCACACTGCTAATCGACTTATTAAAGAGGACCAACAATTTGGACTTATTGCGGCCTGTGCTGCTGGTGGCCAAGTAAAATAAACATTATATTATTACACATAACGCAAATAGCTTTTATAATATCTAATGATCTTTATTTCAAATATTATAAATTATATAATTATAAGTTTTCTTCTTAGATTTATAATTTTGATTTTTTTAAATAGGGAGTTGGAATGATCATGGAAAGATATCCTGGCGCAATATAATCCCGTTTTTTCGAGGAGTACATGCATCTGATATCTCCAAATGAAACGGACTGTTATTTAACAGAAATAATATACAAAGTAATATTTTTCTACTTATGAGAAACATTTGGAATTGTGATTTTTTTAAAGAAACCAACTTTTCTATTAGATTGTTTATGTACAGTTACCATTAAATTGTATAAAATCTCTTACTGAGTTCTGTGAAATTGTTTCCTTTTTGCTAGTCGAGTGAATTATGCAGAAAAGAAGGCAATAGATTCGCAGTTAGATGATGCCTCACACCACGATCCAATATGTTCTTTACGTCCTGGCAACCTTGTAATGCACGTTGTTTGAGCGCTTCCAAACGTGACAAATGTAATCTCTGTCCTGCCCCATGTGCTATTACTATCAAGCCATTCCCATCCACTTCAATCTCATTATTCGTTCCTGGTAACGCGACAACGGACAAAGTAACTCCTGGCGAACACTCCTCTACAAAGTTTGCGTCTAGTACTCCTGTTGCTAATGTTTTATCTTCGTCTTCTGTTGATAGCTTGTTGACGAGAGTTACGGTACAGCCAATGGCATAGTTCTATAATCAAAAATTTATTTTGTATATAACAATATGACGTTTATACTCCGCAAAAGGATAAAATTGCATCTTTAGATGTCAACCTTGATTGGAATTCCGGCGTCGATCAACGCAAGCGTTGCAGCATTCACAGATGCGCAATAGTCACTGCCGTCAACCTGTAGAACCTCTACAAAGACATCAATCTGAGAGCGCGGATACAGCTCCAAGTGTATTATGGCCTCCATTGCGTGACGCAATTGCACCGATCTTTCTTGTGACTTCCAATCTCCTCTGGGTCTTCGTTTTCGTTCGCCGGAGGTAAAGCTAAACACGGCCATGCTGTATTGACAATTTATGATAGCTTTTGTGCTGCTCCTTGATGCACTGCTTCTTGGCTAAATTGTGTAAGAATAGTACAAAAATATACGGTACAACCCAAGATAATTAGAATAAAAATATTCAGTCTACAAAAATATGCTTTGAAGCAAAGAAATAAAATGATCACAAGAAGATGAAAAAAATAGCAGATAAGAAAAGCTTGTTACATTAGTGTACTTCCTCTGAAAGCTCTTTGCATTCATAACTTTACTCATCCGAGATATCATACATATAAATCATTAATAATTAATGATTTCTCAAAAATAATTATAGACGTTTTACAAATAAATCGCACCTGATGAGGACCATACACCGTGGCTAAAACTTTCGTGTTGCCATGCTCGATGTACGTACTGCCGTCGGCCTGCCCGAATACTCCCATTCGCATACGGATTTGCCTCAATTCCAACGCTCGTCTGCCGTCGACGCGTAGTCCGCCCTGATCAGGCTCCATTGTACCTTACCAATTAATTAAAATCATGATCAATCATGATCTTTTAATACTACTACTACGTTTACGTGAGCGTTACTTCTGTAGTAACTTACGATAATTCACTCGTTTACGCGGAGTAAATTATCGTAAGTTACTACAAAATCCCGTTTATGCGAAGGAATTATCGTAAGTTACTATGGAAGTAACGCTCGCGTAAACGTAGTATACGTACTGTAAATTTTAGGTTAAAATTCTTTCCATTTTTCCGTAAAATATCATCCATGGGGAACCCAGTCATATAAAAGCGGAGCGAAATGAAAAGAGAAGTGGGAAGAGTTAAATATACATATTATCGTCTTTTAAAGAAACGTTCTGATTAGTTACCCCTCACTGTGCTTGCTTTCCGTTCCGCTTCTTTCTCTACGTGGGACGTAGGACTGCACCAAGGAGTGATTTCGCTGTTTAGAACCATTTTTGGGCCGTAACGAAAAATTTCTAAATTCATCGATTTAGCTTCCCTATTACGTGGAAAGTTTCATAATAATAAGAACACCTATTGTATATTTAACCGCAAGGAATAATTTCTTCAAAAATTTATTTTTTTGCATCTCTTATATAAAAGAATGTCTGTTGGGTTATTTAATATTATAAAATAAAGATACTTTTATATTCTGACTGTACTTATAATTCTTTAAACAATATTGTAATAATTAGCGCCAACTAAAAATTTCTCAAACGGGATTTTGTAGTAATAACTATACTACGACGTTTACGCGAGCGTTACTTCTGTAGTAACTTACGATAATTACTCGTTTACGCAGAGTAAATTATCGTAAGTTACTACAAAATCCCGTTTACGCGAAGGAATTAACGTAAAGTTACTACAGAAGTAACGCTCGCGTAAACGTAGTAATAGGTGTTCTTATTATGAAACTTTCCACACATAAGGAAGCTAAATCGATGAATTTAGAAATTCTCCATTACGGCCCAAAAATGGTTCTAAATAGCGAAATCACCCCTTATACGTAGAGCGACTTTTTGCTTTTCTCGATATATCTCAAAAAGTATTTGAGATATCAAAAAATATTTCAAATAAAAGTTTTATGGTAAAAACATCTCTATTTAACCACATTAATATAATTTAAAAAAAAAAAATTTTTCTAATTTCTAATAAAAATTTTATTTAAAAAATTATTTTTTTTTTAATGTTGTTAAATAAAGGAGATTTTACTATAAAACTTTTATATGAAACATTTTTTGATATCTCAAATATTTTTCGAGATACTATATCGAAAAAAGTAAAAGTCGCTCTACTTATGAAGGGTAGTTTCACCCCTTAAAATAGTTTTTGGGCAGCAACAAAAAATTTCTAAATTCATCTTTTTACCCTCTCCCCCCTACATGTGTGGAAAGTTTCATTAAGGGCCACTTCGACCAAGCTCTGACCTAATTACACCGATCTCTTGATACGCATATCAAATAAGTATATTTGAGCTGATCAGCCAATAATAATCAAACTAATTTACTATTACTACGTTACGCGAGCGTTACTTCTGTAGTAACTTACGATAATTCCTTCGCGTAAACGGGATTTTGTAGTAACTTACGATAATTTACTCCGCGTAAACGAGTGAATTATCAAGTTACTACAGAAGTAACGCTCGCGTAAACGTAGTATATAGTATTTATACTACGTTTACGCGAGCGTTACTTCTGTAATAACTTACGATATATCACTCGTTTAAGCGGAGTAAATTATCGCAAGTTGCTACAAAATCCCGTTTACGCGAAGGAAAATCCTGTTTACGCGAAGGAGTTATCGTAAGTTACTACAGAAGTAAAGCTCGCGTAAACGTAGTAATAGTTATTTACTATTTAATACGAGTATCAATTAAGTGATCGGTGTAAACTAGGCCTTCTGATTAACTTATACTGTTTACGAGAGCGTTACTTCTGTAGTAACTTACGATAATTTCTTCACGTAAACGGGATTTTGTAGTAACTTACAATAATTTACTCCGCGTAAACGAGTAAATTATCGTAAGTTACTACAGAAGTAACGCTCGCGTAAACGTTTCCGCGTAAACAAGTGAATTAAGTAACGCTCGCGTAAACGTAGTATATGAATACTAGAGTTCCTATAATAAGAGTTAGGACAAACCGCCGCCATTACAGCCAAATGTTATAGCTTTAGGTTTGTTCGCGTTGCTTAAATCCTTAAACATTTTTGCACTTGAAATGAGATAAATATATATTCGGCCGTTGGAGAGAGAGAAAGCGAAGATGCTGAGTGCAAAAAGTGCAAGCAACGCGAATGGAGTGTTTGTCTCATACTATGTTTACGCGAGCGTTACTTCTGTAGTAACTTACGATATATCACTCGTTTACGCGGAGTAAGGCGGGGAGCACACACTTCTGCACAACGCATAATGCGTAAGCATAAGAAAATTGATTGGTCCATACACATGTGCATAAGAAAATAGACCAATCAATTTTCTTATGCTTATGCATTATGCGTTATGCAGAAGTGTGTGCTCCCCGCTTAAAGGTCTATCCAGACAAACTTGCATAGGTGCATAACCATATGCATAAAGAAACGGATTGGTCTATTTCCTTATGCACATGCATATGGACCAATCAATTCTCTTATGCTTAATTATGTTTATGCGCTATGCAAGTTTGTCTGGATTGAGCTTAAATTATCGCCAGTTACTACAAAATCCCGTTTACGCGAAGGAAAATCCTGTTTACGCGAAGGAGTTATCGTAAGTTACTACAGAAGTAAAGCTCGCGTAAATGTAGTATCACTCCCACTAACTTCTTGGCTGAAGCATATGGCGACCATGATAGCTTTGTCTCACTCCCACTTACAGCTTGTCTCACTCTCACTAACTTGGCTGAAACATATGACGGGACCAATCAAAAATCGTCACCTCATTGGCTTAACTCTTATTATAGGAACTCTAATGAATACCGGCCTGTGATTGGTTCATGACATCTTAAGATTGAACTTAAAGCCTAGGCTACATCTATCGTAATGTTCACCGTAAGCTCGTCGTAACGGTCGTAACGCTCGTCGTAATCGCTATCGTAAGCTCATCGTATGAGTTGATTCAGCTTGAACTCTTTACAATTACGACGCTTGTCTGGCGTTACAACATAACCTAACCTGTCAGCTTTTTCGACGTGCGAAGAAAAATGTGTTTATAAATAAATTGGCATAGATATACGGTTTACGACGACTTCATTGCTTACGACCACGATCAAAGCGTTACGATAGATGTAGCCTTAAGCGGGGAGCACACACTTCTGCACAACGCATAATACGTAAGCATAAGAAAACTGATTGGTCTATTTCCTTATGCACATGTGTATGTATGGACCAATCAATTTTTTTATGCTTACGCATTATGCGTTGTGCAGAAGTGTGTGTCCGGGCCCTTACCCTAAGGGTCGGCAGGAGACCCAGGCAAACTCAGGTACACTCAGGTGCACTTTATGCACTAAGTGCACGTTAAACTGCACTTTACTCCGTATTTTATTTATTATAAATTTTTAAGAGCAAAAATGCAAAATCGGGCTCTGTAGCTGACTGCATTATTATATAAAGAGCATATAAAAAAAATTCACAAATCTATG